TGTACTGGGGTTTGGGGGGGACTTGGTGAAGGGGGGATCTTGTAAACAATGTTCTTCATATAATTGTAGATTAATGATAACAAAATGAATAAAAAAGTACAAGATAATACCCTTGTGGATGGAAAAATGGAGATATAATATATATAAATAGAGAGAGTCTCACTGTCCCCCAAAAGTAATTTCACAGGAGTCCCTTTTAGATTATCCTGAATCTGGAGATTGTTGTCCATTATAAAAGAAACCTTTGCCTTGGTTAATAGAATGTGATGTTTTGCCATAAAAGAAAAGAGTTTTTCATCAACTTCTTCCTCTCATCACAGAGGAATTCAGCATGTTCTCCTCTCAAATGCACAGCGAGAGCTACCCCTCCCAGCCCTTTAAGATAGTACCCACCTTGAAATTTTTCAGACTTTCTCTTAAGGTTTTCGTCTAGAGACCAACTCAACCTTAGTTCTGGAGCCCTGAGCTGTTGTCACCCACCAGCTGGGAAAGAAAATAAATCAACTCGGCTACTCTCTGCATGTTCCATGAAACAGCTAAGGTCTTTCCTTGTATTCTGTAAGTATTCCTAGTGGAAGCATTTGGCTCCTCAGCCTCACAAGCACCCTCCCACCCATGCCTCCTGTCACAGGCAGTATAAATGCATATGTCCGTCTCCCAGGCTTTTTCTGAAATTTAGCAAAGTAAAATGTTTGATATTTTCATTGTGTTAAGAAGTTTCCAAAGTACAAGATTTCAGTAGAAGACCTTTCTTTTCTAGGAACGCTTCATTGAGGTAATAAAGAACCAAGAATTCCTCCTGCTTCCAGCTAATGAGATTTACAAACTTCTGTGCAGTGATGACATTAATGTGCTTGATGAAGAAACCATTTTCAATGCTGTCATGCAGTGGGTGTGTTATGATGTGCAGGTGAGGCAGCAAGACTTGGCAATGCTGCTGTCTTACATCAGACTGCCCTTACTGCCATCACAGGTAGGGACATCTACCCAGGTAGAGCAAACTCTCCTTCTGAACTACCACTAGGCATTAATCCATTCCTTAGTTGCCTAGTTTTATTTTATTCAGAAGATTTCTGATAATTAGAGTGTTCAGGATTTTTGAAGGACATATGCAGCCTTCAATTAGCAATATTTATGATGAAGACAGAGAAAACAAGGATTTTTTTGAAACCCTGCCAGTAATTCCTGAACGTCAACATACGCATTAGCTTCCGTTTCCTCTCTCACCAAATGGCACTTGTAAACAACCAGGGAAAATGACTAGGTTAACTCTTTGTCTTTTTCTGCCCACCTTCTAGGCAAGGCGATGATAATTGGTACAGTAGCATGTCAGAGGAGATTCTAGGAAAGAGTTAGATTCTGGATAATCACTACTGGCATGAGTAATTAGCTGCTGTGATTGAAAGCATACTAGAATAGTTGGATGCACTAGACCGTCGTTATAACAGCATCTTCATTGTGCATGCTGAAGGATTATCCTAAAAATGAATCTAGAAACAAACACCCTTGAATAAGATTCAGGATTGACCCATCTCATAATGAATTTTAGTATGTGATGTTTAGGGAGGGTGGAATACAGTACCACTACATAATTCTACCATTAGTGAAAGCCACACTTTTTCTCTGTAATTAATTGATCAATAGTAGGTATCTTTTATGTACCAAATATATGAATATATTGCACACTTCATATAGAGCCCGTGGTTAACGTCTTGAAATATCATCCACATTGGGAGGAGGGACCTTATCTGGACCTAGTGGATCACTGGTCTCATAGACACTAAAAAATTCATTGATTTTCAATAAAATTACTAATTAAATGTCAGTATTTAAAAACAGAATTCTAATTTGCTGATGAGTTCTCTACATTTTTTTCCTTTTAGCTGTAAGTTAAATTCCCTAGAACTCTAGTAAGCTTGAGAATCTATCCATATGGAATGAAAAACACTGACTTCTCTCCAGGGTATAACAATTATTCCAAGGGCAAGGCAATAGTCACACCAAAAAGAGAAACACTAAAATATACATGTAATCTTAGACCCAAGTTTCAGCATCTATGGAAATTTTATGTTAATGTTCTTTTGTGTGTTTATCTCATGAGAGGGTCTATACTAGTTAATAAATTTTCTAAGGCAATGCTATTCAAAATGTCCCTGGACCAGCTGCATGCCGTTTTCTGGAATCCTGTCAGAAACTCAGTTTCTGACCTCCACCACATATATATACTGAAACAATTTCTAGGAACAAAGAGAATGAATTTGTGTTTTAACAAGTTCTCCAGATCATTCTTAGGTACGTAAACACTTGAGATGCACTGGTATAAAGGATCAGACACATTTAACTCTACACTGCTTTAAGTCAATATGACATTCTTTCAGCAAAGTGCTTAGTTTGGACTTCTCTTACTTTATTAGAAGATGGATACATTTCCAGTGCATACAACCAGTGGTACCTTGGCCTCCCACCTGTGAGGAGGCCTTAGAGCCTACAATGTGGACTCCTGTGGACTTTTGGTGCTGATGGAAATGGTGGGTAATGGCATGCAGAATACAGAATTTCCAAAACAATTTTGAAAATGACCTTAAACAAAAATTCTAGAAATGAAATATATGAAGAGAATGGTAATAAACCTTTGAAAAATATTTTTGGAAGAAAATAAACTACATAGCGCAATTTTCAAACCTATTTGCAGCAGTGTATCCATTAGGAAATGTCTAGGGTTTCACCAGCCAAGTAAAAATAGTGATCCATCATAAATTATAGGTAAGGTGAGAACAGAGGTGAGATTAACCAGTGGAGAACAGGAAACTTCAGGAAAGTTTTAGGGAGTGAAATTAGCACCTTTATTACAACAATCTGATACTCTTCTGAATGTTCTGTGATACTGTGGACCCTAAACTCCAAGGACCCAATCTAAATGATGCTTGATAAATTCTGAAACAAACTTAATTTCTCAGCTCATCTTAGGAAACACACTATACCTAATGTTCATCCCACTCAGTTAGAGTCTTACTGTCTGTCAGGCAGTGATGGTTTGGCCAGAATTGACTGGCCATCTACTCTTGCTGATGTGTTGCCTTCTTGCTAACACATGTACTTCACTGATGTGCACATGTACATGCATACAGATAAAAAGCACCTGCTTTCAGAATACCTTACAAAAGTGATTTGATGATAAAGATGTGACACCATGTGGGCAATGCTGTTTCATTTTCACTGGGCATGTTTGTACTCCCTCATCTAAATCCAGCATAAAGGTGGCTGTTTGTGCAGCTACATGCAGTAGACTGGGAGATGCTTGCTTTGTGTACATACACACAGTCCTTCGCTTTGACTGCTTTAAGAAACACATTTCATGAGTGCTTTTTCACTTTCACCCCTTGAGAGTGAATGTGTATGTATTCCAAAGATAAAATAATATGTCAAATCTGCAGAGATCTTTAGCTACTATATTGAGGCTTTTAGTCACTTCAAATCATCAGTGAACACAAAGTATTTCACTAAGCAACTTAAAATATTAAACGATAGCATTTCTACATTTGAATTATCTCAAGTTTTCTCCAGAGTTCTCTATGCGAATATGTTCTTTCTAATGGTGGGCTCCTCATTTCATATACCATGAATTATTACTTTTCAGTTACTGGTGAATCTTGAAGAAAGCCCCGTGTTTACTGCTGAACTTAAGTGCCAAAAACTCCTGATAGAAGCTATGACATATCATCTCTTATCTGAGATAAGACATGCTGCAACGCCCTTGGATCAAGCCTAGAAAAACTACTGTGGGGGCACTTTATTCTGTAGGAGGCGTGGATGCTATGAGAGGTAGCAGGAACAAGCTAATTAATTGAAAGTATCATTTTAAAGAGAGGATATTTTCTCAACACCCTCAGAATTATGAGGGTGATATTAAAGCTGTATTTAAATATTGGCATCTGAAGCTAATTTTAGGCTTCTTTATGTAATTTTGTGACTTTCTTATTTTATGGGATATAACCCTTATTACTGTTGGCTAAACTCTGAACAGGTGCTTTTGTTGCAACAATTTTTAAATATGAGCATTTGCTCTGCAGTATAAGATCTTTTCAAAGAAAACGTATTTAAGATTTATCATAAATGGAAGGGACAAGGTCCTCCAAATTTGCTCTTTATCATAAATAGAAGATTGGCCTCCAACTCATTGATGTCAGTTTCCTGTTAGGTACTCAAAGGCCAGTTACAAAGAATCTTGAAGTAAGGGTAATAAGATCAGCAGTTAAAACCTGGAATAAAGTAATGATTTTTAAGAATTTTATCAAAGGGAATAAGGAAACCTTTCTGAAGCCATCATCTTTACTTTGAACTGTTCTTAGAGCCTATTTCTCTGTAGTTCTGCCCTTTATACATGTAAGTCGGTAGACCCATGTTTGCCAAAACAGTGGGGCAAGAATTTTGTAATTAAGAGTTGACTGTGTAGGAATTAAAATCAAACTACTTAAAACTTGCCAAATCATATGTAGAAATTTTATTGCACACCTTGTAAAAACTGATGCAAACATCAAAGTTCTGTGCTATAGAAATTGATTCTTTTTTTGATATGTGTAGTTGTAATTTTAATATTGAAATTAAAGGTGATACAGGAAGTAATGTCAATTAATCACAAATCTATAAAACAAGAGCTTGCAAATGTAATTTTTTCCAAAGTAGTAGAGTAACCTCACAAAACTAGTATTCTTCAGAAAACAACAAATACAATGAAATCTTATAAATAATTTCAGGTCTGACAACTTATTTTATTGTATTTTATTGAATAGAATGAAATGTTGAAAGGTATCTTGTTTGATATTTAAATTAAAGAGGTACTAAATACAAAATGCAAATACAGTCATTCTTAGTTTCTGATTAAAAAAAGAACCTAACTTGCAACGTGAGAAGTGAAAATTGTTGTGTTTGGTTATGTGTTTGTTTTCTTTTTTCTTGTTACAGAAAACGGTAACAAGTATTTACAATTCATCAGTTTCTGAAAGAGTCAAATGTGACCCTACAGTCCCTTGACTCTATTACCATAGTTTTTTAAAATTTAATTTAAAATAATAGGGATCAGCACATCTGGAGTGCAATGGATAAGCCTCTCCCTGGGAAAACCACCTTCGTGATCATGGTATCTCCCCTGCCAGGTAAGTATACCATAGTTTTATATGTATGAATTAAGGCCATGATTTTGAGACATTTTGTGTACTTACAGCATGGAGACATAAAAGGCCCTGTGGGAAGTTGCAGACAACTAAAATAGTAATAAAGCTACAATTTTCAAGTATCTGATCCTTCATTGGCGTTTTGCAAACATCATTTCTAATCCTCACAAGAAGCCTACAAGATACATTTATTATGTAATTTTGTAGATGAAGAAACTAAGGTTCTTCAGTTTAGATAGCCAATCCAAGGACAAATGCCTAGAAATACTAGAAATGGAATTCTCAAATCCTATGTTGCTTTTTGCTGTATTGCCGCTATTTTAGAAGAGAGAGCAACAACAAAACTGATTCCCCTCTTTGAGGGTTTTAGTATCTGCTGAAGAACCGGCACGAGCACTTATGAATAAAAAAGGAAAAAGGAAAAAGACCTAAGTATATCAAAAACATTACCCAGGTAGCATTTATTTATGTAAATTAGTATTACATTTCAGAATATACCAATTTTCACTCCTTCATAAAACTTTAAAAAAAGAATTTCTGCGGATATGCCTGTTTAGTGTGTTGTTTCAGTTACCTTTCTTTTGAAGATACTGTTTGAACTTTCACCTTTTGATGTCTAGGAAACGCAGCGCTTCATCAGTCTTTAATTTCCTCTCTGACTCATGCAAGTAACTTGTAATTCGTTGCTAAATATAGATATCACGCAAGTGGCTGGGGCTAACTGTGATTCCTACCATTTAAAATAATCATCAGAAAACTTAAGCATGATCTCAGAGTCAAAATTTGTAAATGGTCAGATGGTAAACTTGGGGCTTTTGTACATGCAATGTAATCAGTAGCTTTTCATTTATTAAAAACAATGAACTCTGAGAGATGGTATGGCAAGGGACAAATTATTCATTTTTAAATCATTTTAAAAATAGAGGAAATCACTAAATCAGATATAGTCACAACTACAGGAACTATCATGTTACCAACAATACTACAAAGTTTGGTTGGCTTTGTTCCTTCTTGAATAGATCATAAGTGAGGGTGGAGGAGGGGCTTAGAAATGAACTGAGAAACAGTTTTTGCCATGTTTTAGGGCAGAAGGTCAATTTACACAGAAAAATTTTCAAGTGGGTGTTAAGGAGAGAAATAAGTAAAACAATCCAGTTTAACTTTCCGCATCAAATATAGAGCTGCCATAGCAACCCAGCTAGATGATTTACATTTTGATTAGTAGGAGCAATAGTGGAGGTGGAAAAATGGTCTAAAAAGCATCTTCAGAATTCAACATACAGAATTATCAGTCATATATGTTCATTGATACAAATAAAAGATGTGAGGAAAATTTATCATCCATATTTAATCTAATGTCTGAGAAAAATTAACTTGGCATGAAACACACCTCTACATCCTTTCAAAGTGTAAATCTCCTATATACATTTGAATATTACAGCTTTGTACAATTTCCTAATTACTTCACCATTAATATCTGTATAATCTTAATAGTGCAGCCTAACCTTCATTTCTAATCTCAATTTGCTGTTTGGTAAATTCCACTAAAAGACTTCAAAATAGAAACTTAAAATGAGAAGGATTGAGTAGGAAGATAGATTTGGGAACATTAGAATGAGGAAGTGAAAAGATGAAAACAGAGAAAATTGAATGGTTGACAGAGTGAAAGCAGAGGTGAGCCTGTTTGTAGATACTCCAGTTTTAATAGTATCACCCAGAGATAATTAGTTTAGAGTTTAGAAAAGATACTCTGCGAGGTAGTGTTATTTGATCTCTCAGCAGTAACTGTAGTCAATATAGCAATTGCTGATCTGTCAATCAGCCTTTAGCCAAATCCACATTATCAGTGAAAGATGCAGGGATTAAAGAGAAATGGTAAATGAGTGCCTGTATAGTGACAAGATTTATTGTGAAAATACGAAGTGTTCAGACAAATACAGTGTACTATTCACCAGAAAAGACTTAAAATTAGAGAAAAGAAATGTTGCCACTGATCCATTATACGCAGAAAAACTTTCAAAAGCAGCCATAAATGTAAAATATACCCTGTTTAAATACTGACTTGATCTGACTTCCTATCATATCATTATAATTGGCCAGTGGAGATGCTTCAGATGTTAACTATATTTTCATAATAACAATTAGATTATATCTTCTTCACAACTTGCACCGTAGAAAAGCAACTGAAAGATGCTTTTGTTTATTCCAATGGTTGGCTTTGTATGATTGGGATGAAATTCCCTAAACTTATCACAATATATTATGGTAGTAAACTTGGTATTTCAGTAATTGAATTAAAAATGAACTATTAATACATAAAGGAGGTAATAACTCAATGTCATATTTTAATATCAGTAATAATAATTAATTTTACTCTTAATTATAATCCTTTGTGTCACAATCATGACACTTTCTGTGAATCAACACCAAAGACCCATTTAAAAGGAATTTTCATTCCTGCTCCTTAAGTCATTTGCATTTTAGACTAGCATAGACACACCCCAAGCTGAATGTTTAAAGGGCACAAATTAATATATTGAATGGTATAATAATATGTATAATATATGGAATGAATAAGTAATTAAAACCATAGTGGATGTGTAAATAAGTCAGTGATAGTTTCCAAGATAATTTTTTGTGTTTGTCACCTGTACTAGTACTACCAGTAGCATAGTACAGCCAAAGAAGCCATTATGAGCATGTAAGCCATACATATAGTAAATAAACTATTTCATTCTGACTCTTGCATTTGAATGCAGGACTGGTAAAATACTACCCTTGTCTTTTGTGCAGAGTTGGAGAATCACCTGGTCTACTTACTTTACTTTGAGTTGCAAACTGATTCTATGCCATAAATTATCAGTACATGAATAAAATGTGAATGGTGCAAATTCAACATTTTTATCCATGTGTTTTTTAACTTTGTCCAATATCCCCTTCAACAGATACCATTAAAATTGAAAAATATGACCTCAGGACCAACATCTGGCTACATAGTAGCACCATGAGTAGCCTTAGGTTTCAGTTTGGAGTGGCATTTATTGACAATAAGCTCTATGTCCTCAGAGGAAGGGATGGTTCCAAAACTTTAAATACTGTGGAATATTTTGATCCAGCTGGCAAAATATGGACTGTGATGCCTCCCATCTCAACACCGAGGCATGGCTTAAGTCAGAGCTTAGTGTTACGTAGTTTCTAAAGTATGTGTAGTTGTTAATAGAGCTTTTTAAAAATTAGTTTCTAAAGAATGTATAGTTAGTAGGGATTAAAATAAATTAACAATAAAATTCAGCTTCAAGTTATTCAGATTCAGCCAAACCCTTAGCCAAAATGTTTCCAACATACTGAGAAGTTTAAGCAAATGGTAAAACACTGTCAAACTCTTCTCTTGTTTCAGATGTTGGACTTGTCAATCTTATCTCACTTCTACTGGTATTTTAACAAGGCCTGCTTTAAGAGAGATAAAAACTGTCAAAGGAATACATTGCTGAGGAATATAAAACTACACCAGGAATGTTTTTTCTAAGCTCAGTTTAGAGGAAAGAGCACATGATGATGAAGAGACATTGTGTTTCTAGTTACATGAATCGTGACTCTCACAGAACATCAAATTGATATTTCAGCAAAGGCCTTAGGATGCAGATCCAAGGCAGGGATATTTAGGAAATCGTAGAGCAGCTCTAGGTTATACTTAAGCCAGAAGTTGCCAAGAAATTGAAGAAAGATGTAGTGAAGACCTGCGCAATAGTGAGGAACTTTGATTCTCCTGAATATTTGACAGAGTACATCTTTCTGCATGCTAGACTACTTTGTTTAAAAAGAAGAATAATTACCTTAGTAAGTCAATTAAGAACTGACTTATATACAGCTAAAAAGTGGCAGATCAAGGTCTGGTATTGTTTACCCCAAATTATCTAATACATTGTCCATGTCAAATGATAGACTATATAACTATGTAGCTCAGTTGTGTCAGTGTGATTCCTTGACATAAATTAGAAAACATATCTTGTGAAGAAATAAGAGCAAGTTTTAAAAATCCCACAGATATCACTAAAGAGGTAAGAAAGTTGATGAGGATATACCACTGAGAGACTGACTGAGATGGTGAAGAAGGTGGGGGGGGGGAACCAATTATGTGAATTCCCAGAGCAGATAAGCAGCAGTTAGAAAGGGGTTATTCATAGTATATAATGGAACACACTTCTGACTAAACCTCACAAAGCTCTATTTAGTTATCCCATGGGAATAGTTTCTTTTAATCCCTATAATAAAGAGCAGCATTTAAAAAGACCTACCACAGACAGTCCACAATTCTAAAATTTATCCACGTTTCAGTATCATATCTCATCTACCCCTTATATTCAAAACCTAGCCTTAAAATTATGTCAGAAAAAATCAGCTTCCCTTTTCTATGATATCCCTATTAAAGTGTGTCTCACTACCTCCTTTGACTTCAGTGTTACAATAGTGATACCCATTCACAATGAAGTAACTATGACATGAAAGTGTTAGGATTAATAGACCATATTTATTTTCATATCAAGATCAGTAAATTATTCATGTGTACACAGGACCATTTAAGAAATAAAAAACAAAGTTCTAGCCCATCAGTCATTTTCAGAATGAAACAGTATCCCTTATCTCTGGTGTACCTTGGTGAGCCCTCATGCTATTTTTATCCTTTAGGTGTAGCCACAGTTGAAGGCCCAATGTATGCTGCTGGTGGTCATGATGGGTCAAGTCACCTAAATACTGTAGAAAGATGGGACCCTGAGGGATGTCAGTAGACTTACATGGCCAGTATGTCAACTCCTAGAAGCAAAGTTGGCATTGTTGCATTAAACAGCAAGTGAGTAAACCTGAACCTGCATGTGCTTTGCTCCTAGGTCATGTGATACACCACTTCCTTGATGTGCTTCGTCAGTGAGTAAGCATTTCCAGTGACCAGGACATCCTAGTTATCAATCATAAAAGGCCTTTGTTGGAACCC